CAATCCCTTCTCCTCCATTCTCCTCTCGGGATCTTGGGCACGCACACACACGCTCCCGACGTGAGTTTTAAGCCACCGGGTCCAGGACACGAACCGCGGTCGACTACGTGGGAGTCCAGCGACATAGCCATTACGCTAATTGCTGGTTCCCGGCAGCCTTATCTTGAACCAGTTTTAGTGAGACAGCTTTGAACTTTTTCCCATTCAGTATAATGTTAGCTACAGGCCTTTTATAGATGGCTTTTTTTTATTTTTGAGGGTTTTATTTATTTATTTATTTATTTATTTATTTAGATATAGGGTGTGTGTACTTGCCAGAAAGAGAGAGACAAAGAGAAAGCAAGAAATCACACCCCGGGGAGAGGGGGGGGGTTGGTGGTGGGAGGGTGGCCATGCCGTAATCACTTCTCCTATATTCTCCTCTCGGGATCCTGGGCACACACATACAAACACACACACAAAGTGTGAGTTTAGGCCACCGGGTCCAGGACTTGAACCACGGTCGACTACATGGGAGTCCAGCAACATAGCCATTATACCAACTGCCGGTCCCTAGATGGCTTTTATTATACTGAGAAATTATCTTTCTGTGCCAATTTTGCTGAGAGTCTTAATCATGAAGGGATGTTGTATTTTGTCAAACATTTTTTCTGCATCAATTGAAATGATGAGATCATTTTTATCTTTCTTTGTATTAATATGGTGCATTATATGTTGTAGGATACGATTTGCTAGTATCTTGTTGAGAATTTTTGCATCTATGTTCATCACAGATATCGGTATGTAGTTTTCCTTTTCTGTTGTGTCCTTTTCTGTTTGGGGGATGAGGGTGATGGAGGTTTTATAAAATGAATTTGGAAGTGTTCCTTCCTTTTAAATCTTTAGAAATAGTTTGAGTATAATGTAGGCTAACTCTTCTTTAAATGTTTTATAGAATTCAGAAGCAAAGCCATCAGAACCTGGGCATTTCTTTGTTGGGAGGTTATTCCTGATTCTATTTCATTGCTTGTTATGGGTCCATTCAAACTTTCTATGTCTTCCTGATTTAATCTTGATAGATTATATGTGTCCAGAAATTTGTCCACTCATCAAGGTTTTGTTTGTTGGCATATAGTTGCTTATAATATTCTGTAATTTTTTTTTAAATTTCTACTATGTCTGTTGTAATATTGTATTGTCTGTTTCATTGTAAATTTGATTTACCTGGTTTCTTTCTCTTTTCTTCTTAATTATCATAGCTAATAGTGTATCAATTTAGTTGATATTTTTAAAGAACCAGGTTTTGTTTTTATTTATTTTCTGTATAGTTTGCTTATTTTCAATTTCATTTATTTCTATTCAAATTCTTATTATTTCTTTTCTGCTGGCATTTTTTTTGGACTTTTGTTGTTGTTTTTCCAATTTTTTGAGGCATGTTAGGCTGTCCACTTGCCACCTTTCCATCTTTTTATTATGTGCACTGATTAATATGAGCTTCCTTCTTATGACTGCTTTTTCTATGTCCCATAGAGTAAAGAAACTTGTGTACTCATTATCCCGACCTGGGGGGGACAGCCAAACAGGTTTCCTGAGTGAAGGAGTGAGAGCCGGGACAAGCAGCATAGTGTTACAGCACGGAGACGACACCGTGTCTTCAGTGTCGTCTGTTTATTGTGGGCAGCAAGGTACAGCACGGAGACGACACAGTGTTACAACTCTTAAGGGTCGCGTCATCTACTGTGAGCAGCACGGAGACGATCCAGTGTCACAGCTCTCCAGGGTCGTCCGGAGACGATGTAGTGTTACAACTCTTCAGGGTCTTCAGGGTCATCTGGAGACTGTGCGGTGTTTCAACTCTTCAGGCTCTCCTGGTCGTCGTCTTCTTCCTGGTCGTCTGTGTCATCTTCCTGGTCGTCTGGCTACTGTGGGCCAGGCATCGTGGTTATATACATGCTGGTGGGTTGTAAACAGTGGGCCATGATTGGTTGTAAACGGTGGGTTATGATTGGTTGCTTTTGGACCAATCGT